CATATCTGCAGAGTCGGAGCTGGAATGGCCTCGGCTTCCCTGCTGCTCTGTGCCCAGTGCCACCCCAGCGTGATATTCGCCACGCGAGGACTTCGCTCGTCCTGAGCGTGTCTCCTCCGCACTCCGCCGCCTGTGCTCATACCTAGTCCCCGTATCGCCAAAGAGCATGGAACACAGCCTGAACTTCCTCCTTCTCCCTGGTCCTTGACAAGTCTCTGCCATGTCTTTCAAAAGGCCTGTCAGGACTGACCACAACGCCTTAGTGAGGGACGCCGCGTGAGCCCGACTCCTCCCCCTGACGCTGGGTCAAGCACTTCCTGAACATGATGCCATAGCTCGTGTTTGGAGACAGAGCGCATCAGATCGGGACGTGGCTGCTCCTGCTACTAGAACGCGGCAGGAAGCTCCATGGCAACAGACAGTCAATCATGTTTAATGGAAAGAACAGTGTCTCAAGTGGGATTACTCTAAGCGCAAACACTGTGGTGATGGGTTCAGACACGGGGGTGACGGTGAAAACCCACAGCAAAGCCAAAAGCCCAAGTGGGTACAGGTCTTCTTTCCCACGTCCCCTCCATTCAGACTAGGAGGGGGTCTCAGCCCCAGACTGAGTGTCTGTCTGTCTGCCTGTCTGTCTATCTGTCTGAGAACACCACAGGGCTCCAGGCCCCATCCACAGCGAGGGATGCACCACAGAGAGCTCAGGGAGAGCACAAGGAGTCTCTGTAGATAAGGGTCTCAGATTGGGATCAGGCCGGGAAGGTCAGGCTGCCTTCGGCGGATTACTGTAAATGCCACTGACTTAAAATACCCTTGTCCTTAACGTCATTATGTGTATTCCCAAGCTGTGAGCGGGACTGTTCTGACTCCCTCCTCAGGGCCCATGCCTTTAACCCAGCTCCCCGGGCTCTACAGTCACTTTGAAAATGTCACTTTGTCACAGTCGCATCCTGATTTTCATATTTTGAATTGTATCATGTTCCCTCTGCTGGTTTCTGTGCAACTCGTTCTATTTTTCTATATTGATTCAAACTATCTCAAGATCATATAAATATATATAATTTATTTATGTACAGTATATATATGCTTTATGCAGCTTTTGTATCTCTAAGCCAGAATGAAAGCATTATACTTTTCTCACTTTTGTGCCCTACTACTAAGTATAGTAGGTAAACTAGAAATTAATTATTAATTAATTATTCTACCTTATTTCTCACAATATAGAACTGCATCATTATTCCAGAACTTCACTGAAGAAAACCAAAACCTACAGAGAAAACTCCATCCACATCACCAGATCTTATAGCTGTTTACCTTTAAAAAGTAATTAAAATCATTGTGAACTAACTAAAACAGAGGGAAAAAAACATAATAGGCAATTTTGACTTCATGAAGCATTAGAATTCCAGAAAGAAAACAATGGAACTACGAGGAAAATGTCACAGTGAATCCAATGGATGCGGCCGCAAGAGCTGCTGACAACGTTAGCAGAGCAGAAGAAAGGCCGAGCAGCTCTTTCATAGATCCTGTGCTATGAGGACAAGCGCAGGCAGGGTCAGGGCCTTTGTTAGATTTGAGGAGGTGCCATTGTGAGAGAAGAGGACAAAATGGAATTCACAGCAGCGCTCAGAAACAGCTATCGACTACGAGGCAGGAAGTATTAGAGGGAACATCCCTGGCTACTGTGTGTGAATGAAGGGGTGCCGGGAGCATCACATTCGGTGGTCGCTATGACAGTCTGGGTCGGGCCATGACAGAAACCTAAGATGACAGAGAGGTGAGTGTCTCAAAGCAACCAGCACAGCCTTCTGAGCCTCAAACAGGACACGAAGTTAACTCGTGCAGTGCAAACACACAGTATATTTACGGTAGCCCTGCAAGGCATTTTTCATTTTAAAGAGGTTGCTCATGTACTAGGCAAAAAAGGAGACTACATCAGATGGAGAGTCACCCCTTTGAAATATAATTTCCAGGGAAACAGCCTCTTAGGTCTCTGTGGACAGTTAGTAGCCTAATTTCAATTAGCAAACCCAAATGGCACAATCACATTGAACAACTTCCCCTTAATGGCCGCCAATACCTTTCTACAAGCTCCTCCAGTAATTAAGACCTTGCCTGCCTTACACTTCCTGGGGGTTGATTCCAATTTCTCCCCCTATTGCAAATTCTTGACCCCTATTGCAGCAGTCCCATAATTTTTTCCTTCCCATTTTTGAAGTGTTTGATGCAACTCTTCTTGTAAAATGCAAGAATTTATATATTCGTTTATGAGTTGGCTGATCACAGTGGTGTACAGTGTGAAGTTTTAAATTGTGAAATTATCAAATCAGGGTAATTAACATAACCCCAACCTCACATATTTATCACTCAATTGTGATGAAATGCTCAAAATGCTCTCTTTTAGTTACTTTGAAATATAAAAGACGTTATTATTGACCACAGTCAAACTATTGTGCAACAGTCACCAGGACTCACTCCTGCTCTCCAGCTGTAGTTTTAGACCCACTGACCGACTCTCCCTACCAGTCCGTGTACAATGTCCTGTCTTTGGTAACCACTGTCCTCTTCTCTATGGTTTTTATTGCTGTATGTTTGAGATGTATAATTACATTCATCCTGGAGAACTGTGCAAATAGACATCACATTATAATCATGTTTACCACCTTCCCCTCTGATCCTTCCCTCTCCCCTCATCCCCAGACCCCCTTTCCACCTTCCCCTGTTTCCTTGTGTCTTTTATTTTCCTCATTGAATCACTTATATTTTGGGTTTTTCATATAAGCATAACCATGTTATATTTCACCTGTGTCTGATTTATTCTACCTAGCTTTATGGTCTCAAATACATCCATTTTCCTACAAATGGCTTAAATTCACCTTTCTTTGTGGATATCTGCAGCTATAGCCATATGTTCATTCATCTCTTGACTGGCAGATAGGCCTCTTCCAAAATTTAGATGTTGTGAACTGGAGTTAAAGTCATCACCTTATGGCCTTACATCCATGCTGTCTCCTTCCCTGAGATCCACGTTTAGCTTTCACATCTAAGTTAGAAGATGTGATCTTTACCATTCTATGGTGTTACCAGCCTATGTCTGGTTTGTTTCACTTAAGATAATTTCCTTCACTTTTATTTAAATTGTGGCAATGACAGGATTTCATCTTTTTATAACTGACTAGTACTCCATTGTGTGTGTGTGCGTATGTGTGTGTGCATGCGTGCGCATGTTACATACACATCCATACCCTACATTCTCTTCAGCTACCATCTATTGACTCTTAGGTTGATGCCTTCTCTTGGCTACTGTGAATAGAACCGTCTCTCCAACTCACGGGTATCACTTCCTTTGCCTGGTCTGTTTGTGTGCGTGTTTTCTGCACTATATTTATTACTGAAGCCTAAGACATAAGCCTAATAGTGGTACAGCTTTATCTAGGCTTCTGGATTATTTCTTTGCCCCACAAAGACACATGATTTATTTCAGAAACTTAGAGATTAAGGAGAAAAGCTCTCAGGTCCAGTGTGGTCTTCCTCCTCAGCCCTGCCCCGCTCCTCAGCGCTTGGACCCCACAGTGATCCTCCCATCACTGTTTTCCCAGCCTCTCCCCTGGCAGCACCGGAATTCTTGCCACCACCCGGACTCCTCCCTCTCTGAATACCAGCTTCACGGCCGCTGCTCCCGCCCTGAGCCTCCATCCTCTCCGTCCTCTCACTCAGCGCCTCTCCCTCAGTCCCTGCTCATCAGCATCCGTGCTGTGTGTCTCCTTCTCACCAGCAGCACAGACACCTGCAGGCTGGATGCCCAGGCTGAGCCTCAGTAACTACAGTCTGCTCTTAATTTCCTTCCTTGCGTGGTGAAGAGTCTGCGCTATGTGGTCTGTGTGTTATTTTCCACGTTTCCCATGTGCATTATTTGGACCGAGGGGAGATGCTCCATCTGTCACTCGATTGCGGCCCATCCTCGATGCGATGCTTCCTCTTTGAGACAAACATAATCATGGATCTGACACTGCCCTGCAGAGAGAGCGGAAGTCACAGCCATGCCAGTGGCTGTGCTGACCAGCCACCAGCATTTGGGCCAGCAACAGCAGCACAGGCATTTATTGCCTTGGAAGGGGCTATTTTCATTTTTTCTTTTGCACAAACCAGGTCTAGTGACCTCACCCTGAGGAAAAAGAGGATGAAAAATAAAACCAAGAAGGACTAAATGTTGTGGTGCAATGTCCACGCTGGTGCTAAGTCCAGGGTGGCTCCGAAGCCTGACCTGTGTTGGTTGGGGTGCAGAATCTTGAGCAGACATCAGCAGGTGTGACAGACTAAAGCCAATCTCATTGCAACTGCAGCATGAGAACCCAGTCTGAGGGAGCTCCAGGGGACATTAATTCTCATGCACTGCTCTCAAGGTGCTTGGCTTGGGTGTTACTGTACAATACTTTATAGCTCACCTATCCACCGGCCAGGCTAGGCAGCCTTTCTTCCCTGCAGGAGACCACATGGTGCATGCATATTGATCACTCAGGAAGAGTCCACCAACCCCAACCCAGATGCCCAGCACACGTGGAAGCGATGTAGAATCTCACCTGCTCTGTCCAACAGTTTTGGTTTGTTGTCTTAATTAGATGTCATGTCCTGGGGATACTAATTGAGAGCTGGATTCTAATTCCTCCTCTGCATGCCCACTGCCGTGTCTATCCCCATCACATCAACAGTGTGAACTACGATATGTAGGCCAGAGTACCCTGCTGCTTTTAATACTTCCCTGCTCCAAGTCCTTCAGCCCAAGCCATTGACCTCAACACCCAACCCTGTGAAGAGTAGTGAAGAGATCACGACAAGGGCCTGCTGAGGTCAGGACAGGATTCACCAAGACAGTGAAGAAGCCCCTCCAGGAGCCGTGTCATGACCCAGCTCCACACCAAATTGCTCAACTGCCCTTGCACCACCACTGGTTGAAGTACGCAATAGAGAGGAAGCCTGAGAAAAAATCCCAAGTTAGGACACATTTGCACGGACCCTACAAATACACGAAGTCTGTCCTGCCCCCGAGCAGTCGCAGTCACAGCCGCTTCTTGAGACCTGGGACAGAGAGCTGTTCTCTGACCACCTCTGGGCACGCTGCCTTGCTCCAGGAACTGTAAGTAAAAAAAAAAACCTCTTCCACCTTCACACTGTGCCTGTCCTGGAAGCAGAGAAGCCATCTAACCCCTAAAGGGAGGCTGCTCCCAGGAACCCATAGGTGAGGATTCCCTAAGGGGCTCTTCTGTGTGGGACTCTTGTGACCACTGAGGACAGCTGCTCCCTGTTAAATCAAAAGACGCAGGTTTTGTTCAAGGCACAGGTGACCTACATGTCCTGCTGGAAGAAACACCAATAGCTTTGTAAATATCCTTTCCATATGAGAAGTTTCTCTTTGGGCTCTTTGCACACTTTTCAATCGGGTTATTTATTTATGCTGCTCTTGAGTGGTGTTACTGACATATTCTAGATTTACTGCTTTGTCATATGGATCCTCTGCAAATCATCTACAGCTTCCTGGTTTGTGTTTTCATTCAGCCTACTGTGTCCTCTGCCGGGCACGGCTTTCCAGTGTGATGCAACCCCACTGGTCTACTTTTACTTCGCTGGCCTGGGCCTCTGACAGCCTATGCAGGAAATCACTGCAGAGTTCCACGTTCACAACTTTACTTTTCTGCGGAACTCTCAGAGTTGTATGGTAACAAGTCTCAAAGAGACAGCTCTCAACTTCACAGATGCCCTACTTTGATGTGGAGTCTAGAGCCTACCAAGTAACGGAGGCCATCTACACAACTTTAGAGCCACTTATTTTCCAAGAGTAATGAAAGAAATAACTATTATTTTTATAATTAAAAAGTAAATATGCAACCAGAGTACTAGAAATAAGAAAAGATATCATCATCCATCATCATTATGAGCTTGAGCTAAGAGAGATGCAGAACACACAGGCGAGGCCTTCTGGAAGCCATGAGGTCATGGAACATCCAGGGGACGCTAGAGCCATGGCAGCTCTCACCCAGCTCATCAAACACACACTTCCCCTCCCTGCACCCTCTGACTCTGAGCCTTCCTCCTCCTAACAGGACAGTAAGTACTCTGACTCCTTGCTCCCCACACACTGAGACCTCCCCTCCCATCCTCCAGGTGACTCCCAGCCATGAAGACTCTCGCTGTCTTTGCTGCCTTTTCCCTGCTGGCCCTGCTGGCCTGGGCTGAGCCTCACCCAGGAAGAGCTGACCAGCCTGACCCCAAGATCCTGCAGGAGGAGGAAGACCAGGTTGCGGTCATCTCCTTTCCAGGGGAGGAAAGCACTGCTCTTCAAGATGCAGGTGAGAGACGTCAGCAGCACAGACACTGACAGAGAGCATGGTAGACAGGTTTGGGATTGAGTTTAGATTTAGCTGACTTTATTTAACCTCCTGTACCTGGATTTTCCCATTGAACATTAGAAGCTAAATGAGTCTATGAAACAATCTTCAAAAATAACTTGATTCCAAGGCACTCTTGTGAAACTCACTAGGGTCAATATATGAAGAGAACTATAAACTAGCTCTATCGGGATCTAAATATAGACTTAGTCATAGGGGGAATATTTCTTTCTGTCGATTGGGAGTGTCTACAGAAACTGAAAATGTGTGTGAGGATAGGTTCACATAAATATGTGGTAGGCCAGGAGCAGGTAAAAGTGAAGATCCAAGAGAATGTGTCTCTAGTCTTGTATCTAATTACCCCAATATAATCTTGTGTGTTTGTAACCATGACTGTGGCTCTTCATTCTGCTCTCCATTCTGTATTAAGCCAAGGATGCCATGCCACCCAGCAAGGACCTTTTCGGACGTGCTTGTTCCCAGTAATTGACCCCTGTTGGTCTCTCTCTGTTCCCAGGTGCAAGGGCAGGTCGGACCTGCTATTGTAGACTGTCAGCCTGCCGTTTTCGTGAACGCACCCTAGGCATCTGCAGATACCAGAATCGAATCTACAGATTCTGTTGCTAATCATCCAGAGAAAAATTACAATATGCTCTACGCCTAGAACAGAATTGCTGTTTTCACTGAACTATGTCTTCCAATATTTTCTTTTTCTTAAATAAATCCCTGTGGAAGTGCTCTGTGTTTGTTTCTTTGAATTTTCCCATGTAGCTTCATGAGGACTCTGATATGCAGCTACCAGGGTCTAAATGACACTGTTCTAAACCAAGACTTGGAACCAAATACTAAGAATTCTAAGAATGACCCCAGAATTTAGGAACAAGAAATTAATAAAATTCAAGGAATGCTGCACAACAGACCAGCAGTTCTATTTTTTGTATAGGATGAAGTTCTCAGGCCAGGAAGCAAGCTGGGAAAGTCAGGCTGCCTCTAGAGGTTCCTGTAACAACCACTGACATGGTTTTGTGTCTTCCATGTGATTATCGCTATCCCCAAGCTGGGAACTGGGCTATTCCAACACCCCTCTTCCAGTACCCGTCGTTACCCAGATGCACCCAGCCCCCTCTCAGTCATTCATCTCTCCCCAAATTTCACTCTGCCACTGAGCTCTGTCCTGATCTCTGTACTTTAAATTGTATCATATTCCCCATGTTGATCTTTATCCAACTCTTTTTTGTTTCTCTGCAGAGATTTAAAACCATCCCACTTATATACATTCTAGTTAGAAGATTTCTAGAACAAATCTTCCTGTAACTAGAATTAAAAGCTCCATGCTCTGTTTATTATTGCACTGACTGCTCACATAACTCCTTAATACACAGTCGTGATGGAAAAGTTGCTTTTATTCAGTTAGTTAGTTTTATCCAGCTCTACTTAGCTTTATAAATTTATAGTATTGTGGCTAAAACTGAAGCCTGCAGAGGTAAGGCAGACCTCTATACAGTTCATAGGACTCTTTGTCTCTTAAGAACCAATTAAAATCATATAGACCTAAATATAAGATAATACACAAATACTAATATTAATCTTCTAATACATAAATGTGACATGTTGGAGGTTAGAAAATTAGACTAAAAGAAGAATGCAGCAAGAAAAACATTTCATGGTGAATTTTCCTTCTAACATGACAGATGAGGACAAATTGGGGATAGTGGAAGAAGAGGTGCAAAAACATTGCAGACAGATGAGGAGGTATAAGAACAGGAACCGGAGGGGTCAGGATCCAACTCTATCAGGTTTCAGGAGAGATTTTGCAAGTCAGCAGGATAAAATGGAGCTCCCAGCAAACATCTCAGCAGATCATTAGAGGGAACATCCCTGTCCACCCTGTGGGACAAAGGATACAAGAAGCATCTCATCTGGTGGAAGCTATGACAATCTAATTTACTGCATGACACATGATAATTCCACGGAGAAAAAATAAACATGGAAAAAATCTCCAAAGAGCCAGGATAACTTGAAAGCCTCCAGTATGCCCAAAAATTAAAAAATGCCACACACATAAATGAGGTATGTACTGAATATCAACAAGACACTTGACATTTTTAGCTGAAATGAGCTGCTCATGTGAGGAGGTAAAGAAATTAAAAGAATGTCAGGGGAGGAGCCTTGGAAATGTTATTGACTTACTCCCCAGCAGAGTAAAGCAACCTGAGTTCAAGGAGTCCATTCCCCACTCGGGGATGGACTCATGCCATTGACCAGCTCACCACAGAAATGCTCCTGTGGAGTCCCGGGAGCCAACCTCAGTGCTTGCAAATTCTCCCGCTGCCACCATGCAGCTGAACTCAAACTCTTTCCCTATTTCTAGCTCTTATCTGCATTGCCATAGTCTAAATAGGGTTTTCCTTCCCACTTCAAAAGTGACTGGTGCAATATTGCTATTAAATACAATATATTGTTTTATTTACTTAGTTTTTGAATTGAAACAAAAGAATTGTACAAATTTACCTTGTCCACTATGATGTATAAGGGTATATACACATTACATAGTGATTCATTTGGGGTAATTAGAAGATTTATCACCTCCAACATTTATCATGCATTTCTAAAGAGACAATCACAATCTTTGCTTCCAGCTATGTTAAACTGTAGAGTGCACTCTTGTGGGCTCTAGTCATGATACCATGGAATAGTACAACAGAACTCGTTCCTCCTAACTTTAGCTCTGTAATTGTTAATGAGCCTTTCTTCAGCCTCTCCCCATGCCTGCCTCTAGCATTGGGACCTGATTATTCTACTCTCTAGGAACCAGGAGTTGGGATCAACTGTTTTAGATTTCACATATAAGTGACATCTCATGGACTTTCCGCACCTGGTCATTTCACTTCATATAATATCTTCTCGGTTGACCTACACAGCTGCAGGTGAAAAGCCCACCTCTTTTCCTAACTGAGTAGTATTCCATGGTATACATATTCCACATTCTCTTTGTCCACAGATAAACTCAGTGGTGGACACGGAGGTTGACGGCATAACTTGGGAACTGAGACTAAAGCTGCAATAAACATGGAAATGCAAATGTGCAGCTTTCAAGTCCCTTCCTTCTTTTCCTCTTCTGTGTTTGGATGTCTGAATTCTGCTTACAAGCAGAACTTGATATGCAATTTCCCTTTACAGTATAAACCAGTGGTCCCAAGCCCTGGGCTACAGCCCTGTACTAGACCCATGCCAAAGAACCAGAAGTGAGCAGAGGCCAATGGGCAAAGCTCCATCTGTATGTGCAGCAGCTCCCACCACTCTCCTTCCTGCCTGAGTTCTGCCTCTCCTAGGGACCAAACCCTACTATGAACAGTGTGTGAGAGGACTCTCACTGCAGACTCCTTTGAGTCACCCCAAGCCATCCTCAAAACATACCCCCTTCATCCACGAATAAAAGAAATTTGTTCCTGGTGCCAAAAAGAGTGGGGACCGCTGTTGTAAAGTCTTCATATTGTGTGTTTTAGGTTTGGTGTTTTTCATCTTGGATGTATTCTTGTTCACTTTTATGCACCTTTATAATTATGTTTTCTTCAACATTCAAAAATGGACAGTGTCTGGGAAAAGTTCTTAGGACAAACCCGATCTGTGGGCTCAACCTCCCAACCTTACAGATTTTCACCCACAGATGGAAGGGACTCCTTTCCCATTTCCAGCACTATATCCCATGGCCACAGCCAGTCTGCCATCAGCTGGACTTGCCCCTCTCTGAACACCAGTTTCACAGCTCCTGCTTCCTAAGCTAAGTCATACTTCCAGCCCTCCCGGCTGTTCAGATTCCTGTTAATCAGCACAGTAAGGTGCTTCTCACCCTCAGCTGCTCCTTGGTCACCTTGGAACCTGATCCTCTGGCTGCACTGGAACAACTGCAGTCTGCTCTCTGGAGGGGTTTGGACTAAGAATAAGAAAGTTTTCATCAAAATATGCCAAAGTGCCCAGAATCTTATGTCACTTAAACACAATGTGTTCAGTCTTATGCTTGGGAAGCAAAGAGAGAATTTTCAATCCTACTCCATTAATATGTTGGAAGAAGAAAAGTTTGTTGCAGGAAAAAGCAACAACTCCAACCTCCTTCCAAGCCTGTGAAAGTGTCCTGCACCTGACTGCCTTGAGGGAAGCCACCCAGAACTCAGTGCACTGAACAGCACACATGTTCTCACGTGCACTCTTCCACTGCCGATGTGGGCACCAGCCGGCGAGAGAGCCTGCGGACGTAATAAGGAGTGGTTCTCCCATGATTTGTTGCTCAGAGGAGTCATGTGGTCAGCAGATTGGTGCTGGTATCTGCAGGGAGTTCAGACAGGGCTGCATACTGGAACTGTGGCAATCAGGTTGGAATTTCAACTTCATTTGTTTGTAAGCCACCAGGAAATTGGTAAAGCACACTTCGGGGTCTGTCTGTGTGGGTCAAGGAGGAGTGAACTTGGCCTCTTCCTCTCTGGCACTGTTTCTCTGCATTGCTTCCTTTGTGCTATGAACTGATCATCCTTGCACCACCATGCCCTTCTGCCATGGAGTCCCTCACTTAGTACTAAAAAAAAACCTTTGAGTTCCTCCCTGGATTAAAAGATCCTCCAACCATAAGCTGAATTATATATCTTTTCTTTGATTTGTGGATACTGGGTGACACATTCCAGTAGAAAACTGATGAAGACAGACAATTTGTTCTTCTGACTATATATTATAATGTAGATTGGAAGACTTTGGAACTGGCTTGCAGCAGGTGATTGGGAAGATTTGAGGAAGGCTGAGAATGTTGAAATGAGAGTTCCAACAACTGCAATGCTGATAGAAATGAACCAGTAAGGGCCAGGCCCAAGAGGTTATTATTCAAAACAAGAACTGAATTGGCAGTTGGGATGAAGGTCACATGTGTTGCATTCTGGCACAAAATGTGTATACATTTGGTTCAGATGGTGAGACTTTGCAGAAGGCTGAGATTAGGGGCAGGGGACTAATTGATCTGGAAGATGAAATTTCAAAGTGGTCCCACATGCAGGCTGTAATATAAGTCCTGTTGGTTGATTTTAGACAGATTTATAGAGCAAATTGGGGCATAAAAGAGTAGAGCATAAAATGTTGGAATTTAAAATTTTAGTTGAAAAGGAACCATAAGTAAAGTTGGGGGCCAAGGGAAATGTGTGATTGTTGAAAAGATTAATGGCATTAAAAGAAACCAAGTACTTTCTACAAGGAGAAAGATGCCTTGAAGAACTCTCAGAAATCAGCATGTCTGCTAGGCATGGTGGTGCACGCCTGTAATCTGAGCACTCGGGAGGCTGATACAGGAGGATCACTGTGAGTTCGAAGCCAGCCTGGGCAACAAAGTGAGTTTAAGGCCAGCCTGAACTGCACAGCGAGACTCTGTCTCAAAAAGACCAAAAAAAAAAAAGAAATCAGCATGTTCCCACCCATCACAGACCCATGTATGAAGAGGCATACTGAGACTTTCATTTGAGAAGAAAGTCCCCCTGATGACAGCTTGAGCAGGTTCTTCTGGGGAACTGGTTCAAGGATTCATTTACTCGTTCTCAACAATCCACACTCAGAAGCTTGTGCTGCCCAGGTGTGCTGAGACCTGGCTACTTCCTATGCTGCTGCCAGGTCCTGGTCTTCTTCATGTGATGCTGGTTTTTGAGCTGCCACAATGCAAGAGTTGTGGGTTAGGGAAGCTTCCAGTCAGGTATCAAAGGAAGGCC